TCAGTGACGTTTCTAAAAACTTGTGATCATTCTGCTTATTCTGTTTCTTTTTCTTATTCAATTTAGAGCGTTTTTCAATTATTTTATTCTGTTTTATGTTATTTTTGTCAGCAAAATCTTCCTCTTCCACGTTATTATTTAACTTGGGCAATAAATCTTTTTTGCGTTTTTTAATTTTTACGTCTATTGTCGAAGTATTAATTTCGTCAATATTTCTTTTCTTAGATAACTTTTTTTGAAAATTACCTTTATCTCCATCCTTTTTATTTTCATTAGAATTAACAGCTTTGTCCAAAGACGTTTCCTTCAATTTGTTACTCTTTTTTGTTACTGGATATTTACTTTTTACTGTTTTTTCTTCAAATTTTGCCCAATCATTATTAACATTGCCCACATCAAAATAAAATAAATCTTTGTCTTGCAACAGCTCTTTTGCTGATTTAGGCTTTTTTGTATGGCCTAGTTTAGATAATTTCTCATTTAGTTGCTGTTTCAATATGTGCCACGGTGTGGCTTCATTAGGAGTTCTTTCATTCGATGCTTTTGATCCTGTACTTCTTGCATATCGAGTCATGTTCTAAAAAAGACGAACAGAATTTTGTACTTTTTATTAAAAAAATAAATATATAATTATTATTTAACCTGTACATTAACATGAATTATGTATAAGTATTTCATCTTAGCATAAAAGTTATTGCATTACGTCCAAACAAATATTTTCGTTTAACCTTTTAAAAAGTCCTATAAAATTAAACTTACTATTTATTGAAACTAGAATAGGATTTCAGGTAGTCGTAAGATTTATACGAATACTTAAAAATACAGGTTTATTGAAAATGGTAATAAATACTTACTATTTAATGCACGCGAAGTAACCTTACTTCTTTACACGTGATAACATAAACTATAAACAGTGAAGTCTGTAATAGAGTAGTACCGCAGTGCTCCCTAGTTCGAACTACTGATAGCTACTGATTTATTGAACATGATTTACTGTGAAGACAAAGAATATTTAATTCTTAATTAGCAGCTATTAATTCGTTATTATCCTCGACACAAAATACATTACAATTTTCTCTAATATATCTTTGATCGAATATAAATTCACCTCCACAAATCTCGAAGCTCTTTGAAAAATTAAAAACAGCATTATTTGTCACCAGCGGCGCTCCTTGCGGTGAAATCTCGAAACTCCGTTCAGGGTCCGTACAGCGCCAATTAGTAGGTGGCGAAACGCTCAAACTACTAGCCAAACAGTGGCGCCACTTGCGGCAAAATCTGAAAATTCTGTTTTGGCTAGCAGTTTCAGCGTTTTGCCACCGGACTAATTGGCGCTGTACGGACCTCGTTCGAAGCTTCGTTTTTCCTCCACAAGAGGCACCACTTTCGTTTTCATTTGCGCAATACAGGATCGCCGAATAATATTAATTATTATCAAATTAGAGGATGAAGCAATAAACTAAGTGGCAACAATTAACGACACAATAGAAGACATAATAAAATTGGTAAACTTAATAATACCACACACTGTACTTGTAATATCGTAAACTCTACTAATTATGACAATCGGTGCTACATATAGGTTCGATGCGCAGTTTCGAGATTAAATTGACAAGGAAGTTAGTAATATTTGTTTATTAGTAATGTTGCATTATTATTACTTTTATACATATTTGATATTGGCCATCAACAAATATGTTACAATTTTTCTCTCCCCACTGTTCTCGTGTTTATTCGTTTGCCTTGAAAACTAACGATATATTTTATAATAATACAGAATAATTCATAGTCATTGCGTGACAAGTACCAGTAGTAATCGTTAGTACAATAACTGTACACTGTATTTGTAGCTCGCTTCAAGTAACCTATACAAATAGTAATTTGAATCACTGAAATTACTCGGTAATGTAATACGTAATTGAACGAAACAATTGCGATCAGTGTCAATTGTTGTATGTTTGTCGACGTAACGACTGTTCCTTGTTCATTTTCGTCTAAAACAAAATCTCATTCGAAGTCTCCGGAAATGAAGATCGCTTGATTTCGTTCGTGGGTCCTCGAGACTCGAATCACAATACGCGTACACCGTTGCCGTGGTAACCAGAAATCGAAATGATTTACGCTTAAAATGAAAGGAGGCTAACTTTATCGCTACGCGGAATCAGGGAGTTTTAGGGCAGGATCTTTTCTTCGTCTTATTCTTTCGTAAAAAAATAGTTCATCGCAAGTGCATCGAATTTAGTGCGAACGGCCAATCCCGCCGAAATTCTCAAATACAAATGAACGACTTGATCGTGAAGTTGCGCGGCTCCGGCCGCCAGATGACGCTCCTCGTCTTTTTTATTTATCGCATGTATTGTACTTATACGTTTATCTTATTCTTATGTTTCTATTCTTTACACGTTTTACTTTCTATTATATTCTGTGTTATCTTGTATGCGGTAAACACAACGTCGTTAATCACCATCGTCGTCCGCGTCGTCGTTTTATAGTTATCGTTATTTTTTACTATTATTAGGATTATCCTTAATCGATTAAATTTAGCTAAGCGAAGAATCGATCGCCTGAAAATTCGCGATCAATTTTATTTGGTGCTTGAAATACGAACGAAAAATATTATTTGAAATTGCAATCTCTTCCTTTCTTTTTTTTTTCCATTTTTGTAGACCTCGGGTTAGAACTAGCCCGGCACTTCCGGTACCGTCAACTTCACGATCGAACGCTCGTTTGTTTGAAAAAGCGGAGCGATAGGATTCGTCTAATTTACAGCTACGTCGATCGAGTGTGATTACACGTCTTCTTTTCTTTTTTTTTCTCTTTTATAGGAAATACCGTGCAGGAAGTACATACGTAGAATAAACGCTATCGTTTCATCGACCACTCGAGAGCGGTTAGTGTCGCGCGATGACTCGAGTAGTGTTTCACGTAGTCGTTCGACGATCAGTGTCCGTGGTTCGCGCGCTCCCGCGGATGTCCTTTGTTTTTTCTCGCGAGTGAAACGTTAACGACACCCAAATCGACGTAACTATTTTCGCACCGGTTTGTGATCTTCATTTGCAAATTAAGCGGCAAGTATTCCAATAACTTCGTCGTGATCGGCTGCACGCGGTAAGTACATAAGTCATTGTTGTGTAGTATGCATGCACCGGTAACATCGACCGGCGAAATCGCTTCGTCTTTCTCTGATCCTGGCGGAAACCGATCGGTGACAACGGTTCCCGATTATAAATCCGTCGTTGCCGGATCGATTAATTAACGCGTCGAAATATTCTCTCTAATAACCGGCAACTACGACGTTTCGTGACTCAATCTTTAACCTGTTCGGTGTCTTCGAACGGAACCCGCGGTGTCTCGGGTCCCGTATTCGACGACATTATCGGTTTCAATTTTTCTCTATGATAAACAATGCGACGCGAACACACCGAGATCGAGCGTACACGTGATCAAGAAATTTCGAGCAAATCCAATTGAATCGTAATTGTCGCGAAACGCGTAGAATCGCGACGCGCTCGGCGCGTGTCACCGTGTCACGGCGCATCGGTTTCAGCCAGAAGCAATTCTCGAATCGAACTAAGGTTTGCACAGGCGAGTACTTTATAGCGAAACGGTTTGCAACAATCGGTCCGAAGCGTGTTCGATATTCGTTATCGTAGTTGATCGGCGTTGTATATAATGCACGGTGTAATTTCGTACGAGACGAATGTTGTCTGTCGTTCGACACGATTTCTCACCACACCCCCATCCACTTATAATTCGTATGCTCGACGAAGATCGAATCGGTCGAGAAGTTCTTCCCGCCTTTTTTCTTTTTTGTTTTGTTTCTTACAGAGGGGTTAGGTTGGGACGATATATCGCGTAAGAGACTCCACTCGCGGACAAGTCTGACAAGTTACAACAAGAATTACTTTTTTTTTTTTCGGGACAAAAACGTTATCGGACTCACAGCCGTTATTGTCAGTTGTCATGGACGTTACTAAATACTCGGTACATACGACGCGCAACTGGTGAATCGAATCGCTGTACGCCCGGGATCCTCGAACACTTTGCGATCCATCTCGACCGCAATCGCGTTGCATACTTATCAGCGCGATCGTACCAGAGTTTAGGCGGCGTTCCGAACGCGACTACCGATTCGGTTTCCCAAAATTTTCTCTTGGACAGCTTTCAACGGTCGGTTGCGATTGCTCTTTTTTTAGCGTAGCGCTATCTAAAACGTTGCGGCGACATATTTGATCGATAATTAACACTAAACCCACCGCTTTCTTATTTTGCAATTCTGCAAAGTTTCGTGGAAAACGCTCGAATAAGTTATATCATTGGAGCAAGTTTTACAATAAAAACTTTACAAATTCTAAATAAATTCGATCTTTTCACTTTTGTGAAGCAGTACACGCCGGTTAGTATTACTGTTTGGTAGGTTTAGTGTTAAACATTCGCGAAAAGCGCCGTACTCTTCGACAGTTTTCAACGGTCGGTTGCGATTGCTCTTTTTTAGCGTAGCGCTATCTAGAACGTTGCGGCGACATATTTGATCGGTAATTAACACTAAACCCACCGCGGTCGAAGTGACCGCTTTCTTATTTTGCAATTCTGCAAAAACTCTTTCGTGGAAAACGCTCGAATAAGTTATATCATTGGAGCAAGTTTTACAATAAAAACTTTACAAATTCTAAATAAATTCGATCTTCTCGCTTTTGTGAAGCAGTACACGCCAGTTAGTATTACTGTTTGGTAGGTTTAGTGTTAAACATTCGCGAAAAGCATAACCGACGTTCAGCACTGTTAAGCGCGGTACTCTTCGACAGTTTTCAACGGTAGGTTGCGATTGCTCTTTTTGATCGATAATTAACACTAAACCTACCGCTTTCTTATTTTGCAATTCTGCAAAGTTTCGTGGAGAACGCTCGAATAAGTTATATCATTGGAGCAAGTTTTACAATAAAAACTTTACAAATTCTAAATAAATTCGATCTTCTCGCTTTTGTGAAGCAGTACACGCCAGTTAGTATTACTGTTTGGTAGGTTTAGTGTTAAACATTCGCGAAAAGCATAACCGACGTTCAGCACTGTTAAGCGCGGTACTCTTCGACAGTTTTCAACGGTAGGTTGCGATTGCTCTTTTTGATCGATAATTAACACTAAACCTACCGCTTTCTTATTTTGCAATTCTGCAAAGTTTCGTGGAGAACGCTCGAATAAGTTATATCATTGGAGCAAGTTTTACAATAAAAACTTTACAAATTCTAAATAAATTCGATCTTCTCGCTTTTGTGAAGCAGTACACGCCAGTTAGTATTACTGTTTGGTAGGTTTAGTGTTAAACATTCGCGAAAAGCATAACCGACGTTCAGCACTGTTAAGCGCGGTACTCTTCGACAGTTTTCAACGGTCGGTTGCGATTGCTCTTTTTGATCGATAATTAACACTAAACCCACCGCTTTCTTATTTTGCAATTCTGCAAAGTTTCGTGGAGAACGCTCGAATAAGTTATATCATTGGAGCAAGTTTTACAATAAAAACTTTACAAATTCTAAATAAATTCGATCTTCTCGCTTTTGTGAAGCAGTACACGCCAGTTAGTATTACTGTTTGGTAGGTTTAGTGTTAAACATTCGCGAAAAGCATAACCGACGTTCAGCACTGTTAAGCGCGGTACTCTTCGACAGTTTTCAACGGTCGGTTGCGATTGCTCTTTTTGATCGATAATTAACACTAAACCCACCGCTTTCTTATTTTGCAATTCTGCAAAGTTTCGTGGAGAACGCTCGAATAAGTTATATCATTGGAGCAAGTTTTACAATAAAAACTTTACAAATTCTAAATAAATTCGATCTTCTCGCTTTTGTGAAGCAGTACACGCCAGTTAGTATTACTGTTTGGTAGGTTTAGCGTTAAACATTCGCGAAAAGAATAACCAACGTTCAACACCGTTATAAGCGCGGAACATTGGCGCGAGAATTCCCGCGATATCGAAGCCGTTCAACGAAACGAAATCGCGACCGAACGGTTAACATTTACTCGAATCAATGAATTCCGTTAAAAGTCCTAAGCAACGTTCGGTCCGTTCGAATGTATCGCAATTAAAAATGAATCTCTAACCGGTCGACGCGTTGACCGTTCGATTCCGTTCGAAAATTTGCATCCAACGTAGCCGAACAATGGCGTCGCGGCACCGAAGCTGAAGGACCGCAAAGCGTCGATACTGGCATACTGATTATGTATCTTTGATATGAACTGTTTCACACGGAAATACCGACGCGTGCGCGACCGGGACCGTCGTTGCCGACGATTGTTCGCGCGATCGCGCTACGACACGCGACGGTCGTTCTTCTCCTTTCCCTCCGCAAAACTTTTTCGAATAATTTCAATCCGCGATCGTGGTTCGAAGCGGCTCGCGCATCGCTGTGCGCAACTATAAAAAACGGTTGGAAAACTTGAAAAGATTCAACAACGTCACACTCGTGTACGAAACAACGTTCGGTCCCACGCTCCCCCTCTCCTCCACCCCCTCGCCGATCTGAACCCGTTCGAAAAGCCCGCGAACCGTTTCTCAATCCGTGGATCCACGGTCATCGATCCGGACTCGACGAGATCCTCGAGGATCAGCTCGGGACGCGTCGCGAGGCTCCGTTTTCTCCGCGAAGAATATTCCTTTTTTTTTTTGAAAATTCCCTTGGAACATTTTCCAAGCGACTCGAACCCGGAAGCCGCGTGCTTTCGAACTTTCCTATCCGCGGCGTGCCGAATAATCGTTGGACGGTGCTCGCGGTGAAATACTTCACACGAAACACACCTAATCGATGCGCGCGGGAATCGAAGCTCGCTCGCGCGAGACGCGACTCGCGGATCCCTCGTGTACGGGGTTCGATTATCCAAGCGAATCTCCCACGGGATATACGAACATCTGTTTGCGCGTCTGTCACGGGATCGTTGAAGCAGTTCGGAAAGCGTCTACGAGTATCGATAGTTTGCCGGAGCCGGAACGTTTCCGCGTCGGAACGTTCGGCGAACATTTAGCCGAGACGAAGCGCGAGGGGCGGAACAGGCAACGCGGAACGGGTCGAAGCTCGGCGACGCGTCGTCCCTCGCGATAAGCTCTAGCCAGAAAGCCAGAACGCGATCGAAAATCTGGAACACGCGAGTCCTGCGGGATCTTCGGTCGCATTGCCCGATTCTACGGATCGGCGAGGTTCTGCGGTGTGCAGGTTGTGTCGGTCGATCGGCGGCCAAATAAACGGAGCAAATAAACGCGGGACAGCCGAATGTGTGGACAAAGCGGACCGAGCGTCGTCGTGATCGATAAGTCCGTCAGGAAACAAAAGGAGACCGGCGATCCGAGAGACGTTGTTCCAGTTTCGTGGCGAAACGAAGCGTCGCGTTGGATCGGTGACGGAACCGGTTGCCTCTGCTTCAGCGAAGCGAGCCGATAAGTAAATTTCAAGGGTGATATCGAGGGTGATCTTTGCGGTAACGGGGCGTTCCATTTGCGTCGCTTTGGGCGACCAGTTAATTGGAGCGGTCGCCGAGCTTCGGAGGTTGCCAGATAGAGGAAGAGAGAGAGTGAGAGAGAGAGAGAGAGAGAGAGAGACTCTGGGCTGGCCAACGCGCTGCAAGTGCGGAAACAACGTTAACCAACGCGGTAATTAGCACGGTTCAGGTGTGGTTGGCGGGTCGCGGGCGTCAAAGCGAGCGTCGCTTCTTGCACGGAACGGAATGGAACGGAATGGAATGGAATGGAATGGAATGGAATGACCGAGACACGGTCAAGACACGCGGGCAACCTTCGAGTCTCTCGCGTTCTCTTTGTTCCTGACCGCGATCCTCCGGGCGGGACGCGGCCGCGCCCGCACAGAGGGACTCTCGAAATGCGTCAGAAGCACACGATAACGATCGATATCCCTTGGAACCTCGACCGACCACACTCGACCACCGCACGACGCGATGCTCCGACCAGCGCGTTCCAGCTGGACAAAACCCAAAATAGCCCGAACGAGACGAACGCTCGAGAACTCTGGTTCCACCACAATTGTAAATTTCTTTCGCCGGGACGTTGGAAACCGGCGAGATCGTTCTTTCGAGTCGAATGGAAGACGCGAGATGACTTATGGCTCTCGGAACAGAGAGTCGAGAGAGTCGTGCGTTGGGGTATACGGGATGCACCGATGATGCAGCTCGAGCGACAGACGTCTCCTCGCGACAGGAGAAGAGCTTTCCTCCCGAGGGTCGTTCATAAGGCTTCCGCGGGTAATGGAGATATTAGGTCGAGTCGTGAATAACTTCCGATGCGGCTAGGTAGAATCTATCGTTCGCATCTGCTCGCTACGAGTCGCGAAGGAGACTTTGCTTTCATCGGATATGAAAGACGATTGCATAAGACAAAAGACAAAATAAATGTGTGAGGAAGAAGCGAAAGTTGTTTATGACTCGGGCCTGGTACAGTAACGTCTCCCTAACTGAGACAGCTTGGATCGTGCAGAAATATGGACAATTTGGGAGCAGGAGACACGATTGTTCCGGCTTCGCGCCATGCTTTTACTAATCGTTGACGATCGGTAACTATAAAGACGAGTCGCAAGGCTCGAATTCGCGAGGCTCCTCTTCCCAAATTGTCCACTTTCGTGGACAATCCGAGCGTCAATTAGGGAGACATTGCTGTATTATCGCCGCACGGCTCGGCTGCATTTTCGGAGCCGCAGTCGCGTCGTCCGTGCGACGGAAAAGCGTCGCTTGGACTTCGTCGAGTTGAAACGACGTCGGTCGCGAATCATCCCCGAAAGGACATCGGTAACAGTTGAAAGATCGAAACGGCGATCGTTTCGATCGGTTGTGAAATCGATCGCAGTTCCAGGCTTTCCGCGTTCGAATTTGATCGCGATCATCTAAAAACCACTCTCGATCCGCGATCGTGTTTCACTTTGGTTGTCGGCAACCGTTTCAGCGATTGCCGTCGAAGGGAGATATCACCGCGCGAGCGCGGTTCAAGGGACAGGGTCGCCTATGTTTCTTTTCGGCGAATTTCTATCGGATCGATCGATCTCTGTTGTCCGCGACGCTCTCGATTGGATGCGATGCGCCGCGGATCGCGGGGTCTTTACCGATCGTTGCTTCTCGTCGAGCCGATCGATCGTCGAAAAAACGATAACGGCATTCGAATGCGTTGCGCAACGTTTTAATTCCGCTAATTGGATTCCTCGAGCGAGGCTCCGCCGCTGTGCACGCTCTCGGGTATCTGTGCTTGTGCCTGTGCCTGTGCCTGTGCCTATGTAACAAAACGTCAACAAGTAAACGTGCGATAAATAAATCGATTGCAAATCGCCTTATAAATTGTATAAAAATCTCCTCTATCTGCCTAGCTTAATGCCTTAAGGATACGGTGTCGGGAATCTGTATAGTCCTACGGTTTCTATGCCCGGTCAAGGGGACACCGTTGCAGCTTCCGCTCGCAAGCTCGTCTCCGTTCACCGGGAAAGCACACGCGCGCGGTCTCTGGTCGCGCTTTCTCCCGCTCCTTTGCCCCCGCATCGCTTTCGCGACTCCGTAAACATCGTCGTGGAGTTCGCGATGAACTCCTTGAACATCTCCGGAGAGCATCGCGTCGAACGCCGCGACCAGGGACTCGCGCGGATCACGCAAAAGCGAGTCGAAAAATAAATCGGAGACACGTGAGGGATTAGCGAGTATTGTTGATCGTCCGTAGAGCTTAGCCGTGTATGCGCGCGAGAATTCGAACGGAAAAACAGGAGACAGAAGAGGAACCGGTGTGCGTCCCGAGGTATCCGATATAGGTACACGTCGGGCACACCGTTCGCCATTCACTCGAGTATTCGCCGCGAAGTACTCTAAGTATATCTCTCTGCCTCATCCAATAAATTCGCACGATATAAAATCCTAGCTTAGTATGGCCGGTAATTTGTTTCCCTCGCGTCCTCGTCCCTCCACCGTCTTCCACGATCCCTTCTTCCCTTCCTCCTCCTCCTCCACCTCCTCCTTCTTCTCGTCGCACCCCGTCTCCCACAGCTCCCCCTTCTCCCCTTCGCGATCGAGTCCTGCTACCTTACGTCGTACGAGTTAGTTTTATTATTAATCCGCGATTTTAGTAAATAGATAACCGCAAGCTTACGTCTAATCTGAATTTTATAAGGTAGTGTGGCGTTGCTTGGCGCGTGTCTCTCTGTGTGTTTCTGTCTGTCTGTCTCTGCCTGTGCGCGCGTGTGTACGTGTAGTTATGTGTTTTCCCGCGTACGGTACCAAAGATTCGTCTCGACTATCCAACAAATTTCCGTCCTTTTTTCTTCTTCCCCCCTCTGTATCTCTATTCAGCTCTCCCCCCTTCACCCTTTTCTCTCGCGTCTCGCACGCCGGCGATCGCGACCGCGCTCGGATCTCTCCGCCGACTATTATCCGATACCGATTTAAAATCTAAGCGATTAACAAACAAACGATACCTCCGCCTCTTGCTCGTCCCTGTCGCATTAACCCTATTTTACCTACGAGCTCTATGCGCGACCACGTCTCGTGCCGCGTCACCTCCACCTTATTCTCTAGCTGCAAGCTTCTTAACGGAATGCTTTCGTACAAATAACGCGACACGAAGTCGAGTAACTTTCCGAATATCGGCCGCCGGCCGCTTCTTCCCCCCTCCCGCGCCTTTGCCCTCGTCCGTCTTCGAAGCGACGAACGGGTCGAAAAATAGTTAACCGACTATTATAGTTAACCGAATCACAGTTAACTAAAATAGTTAACCGACTCGCTCGGTTCGTTCGCGAGGAACCGCGCCTCCGCTCGCGACTGTCGCTGTGCTACGTTCGACGAGAACTGCCGGAAAACGCGACTGTATCCGCGCGTTCGGCGCCGCGGTCGTTGGACGAGCGGCTGTTACACGACGACGCTCCGGGACGAATTTTAGAGGAACCTCGTCGAGGGCCCTCGCACCCTCTCGCGTGGAAGCGGCCGAAAATCGCGATTCGATCGGGCCGATCGCGCGTCGTTCGCGCGCGACTGTTCGGATTTTCCGGCAGTTCCCGTCGAACGAAGCGCGTAGGCCTGCGTCGGCCGACCAATCTTTTCCTTCGCCGAACCGTCGGCGAAGAGAACGCAGTCTCAAGTTACCCTGTAAGCCAGCTCGGGGGCTTCCTCATCCCCGACATCGAGCGAACCGAGACGCCGAGAACTTCTTCGCCACCGCGCGCTGTCTCCCCGAGGAACGCGCGAACTCTGCCAGCGCGATTGCAAACGATGCACTCCGCAGATCTACGTAGATTATTGCTGTGAATCGCGAGACCCCCTGTCCGAATCGCGGGAAGCTCGCTCGTCGCCTCGCTGTTCCCAAAAAACGTCTCCGCGTTCGCCGCGATCCGATCGCGCGGACAGCGCGTTCCGGCGCTCGGTTGCTCGGTTTCGCCGAGCGAGAAGGAACCGCGGTTTCCCGCGATTTCCACGATGTTTGTCGGCCCGATTCGAGAACCGCCGGGGCGACGAATGGGAACGTATCCGAACGAAAACGATACGAACAACTACGGCTGCTACTGTTACGGAGTTTTTTACGTGCTAGAGTCGTCTCGCGTGTCGCGCCGGACGGCTCCGCTCTCCGCGAGCGGAATCACGGGCGTTCTCGCGGAATCGACGAGACCTCGACTTTAGTGGTTAGTGTCGAGTTTAGGGTCTTAGAACGAGAGCCTTCGGTTAGAAAACGGTGCTAGCTGGGTAGTTCGCTAGCGGTTACGATGCGGTTACGATTCGCGCCTGCGATTCGTCGTTCCACTAAGAAGCCGGGGACAATTGCCGCGATATGTCTGTTCGGGTGGGTCTGTCTGCTGCGAGAAGAACGCGTGTAGCACGATGATAACTATACTCTCCGCGTACTATATCGTTACCCTTAAACTTCTCTACGCTACGGCTAGAAACGCCTAGATCCTATCGTTCTCCGCCAACGGCCAGATTTTCCATCCCCTTTTCACCGCTCGAGCTGTCTCTTCTTCACCCCCCATCCCTCCCTCCCCCTATTAACCCTCCGTTCATCCCCTTCGCTCTTTCCTATCCCTGTGTTATGTTAGTTTTCGCGCAAGAAGCAGACAAGAAGCCGTACGCGCCGCAACGCGTCGCTCGTCGCTGAAACCTACCTACTTATACGTGTACGTACGCGCCGATGTATATATATATCTGTGTTGATCTTTTCTTTCGGGATATTTATTATTTATTTATATATATATATATTTAATATATATATCTATATTCGCATTTATATTCATATATATATATTAGTCTTTTGAAATGTTTATCCTCGTGCGTGCAAAAAATAAATCTCTCGACGCGATCGTTGCGCCGCGAGTGAATTTTCATCTCTTTCTCGTTCGTCATTCTCCTTGCTCCGTTAAAGTCGCTCGCCCTCGGCTGGAAAATCATTCGCAAAGCAGTTCTATTTTCCTTTCAGTAGTTTCGTCGTAGTCGTTCGTTCGTTCGTTCGTTCGTTCGTTCGCGGAGTCGTCGTTCGTCCGAAGCGGCCGTTCGAAGATTCAACGTCGCGATCGCGAACGTATCTCGTTTCGCGATTCCTCGCTAACAGGGAAAAATTCGATTAATCATCTCTCCCGACGGTCCCTCGACTCGCGGATTCGGCCGAGACGTTGTCGCCGCACCCCCCGCCGTCGCCCTGCCCGCGGAACCACCCCTCTCCGTATCACGTTCTACAGTTCCCGGAATCGTTTTGTGTCTGAAGTTTCAATGCTTATTGCACAGCTTTCTACCTCGTTGCATCTTCGTTGATCGGGGCGAAACGATTCTCGGTTAAATTCATTACTTCGACGCGCAACAAAAATCATCTACTTTAAGGCACGATTGAAACTTCAGTCACGAGCCTCGTTGGAAAGCATGAGGGGACGCCGCGAGAGAAGCGCGCGCGGTCCAACGGTGAACATCGCCGACCTTTGAAACGTCGCGAACGCGTTCAAGTCGTTCGCCGTTCTTGTTATTAAAACTAAATCGAATTCAGACTAAATCGAATTCGATCGATGAGTCGAGCTGATTCGATTCGCTTTCGTTCGCAACCGCGTCGCGATCAGGACACGTCTTCGTCCCTCGATCGTTTCGCCGACGTTCGTTTCTCGCGAATCTCCTCGTTCGAATTCAGCGTTCCCGACGCGTTTGATCGAAAGAAGTAGACCGAACTGCACCGTTGCATCGTTAGCCCGACGGTCGAATGAAATATTCAAACCGCCGCGGTATATGGTCTCTCGAGGCCAGCGTGTATCGAACATCCTAATCTACGACGGGGGTGGTTTCGCGAGGCCGACCGCGGGACGGTTGCCGCGAGCGTTCGCGATCGAGTCGGTGACCCGAAGGTCTCTCTGTGACCCGAAGGTCTCGAAGGCGAAGCGGAGCCGGGTGTCGCGAGGGCGAGAACGGAGAGCGAGCCGGTATCGTTGGAAAAGCTGCGCGCCGGTTCTCCGAGCCGGAGAGCCGAAGACTGTAGAAAGTTTGATGCGCCAGCCGCCGCGGCGTGGCAGGGTGTAAAAATAGCGTCGCTGAAGAAACTTTAATCAATTGGTCGCCGATACTTTGCCCCGGGCTCTCCGTTCTCGCCGTTCTCACCGGGATGCTGGCCCCGCGATTCGAGACCCGTAATCGCCTCGGAATGCTCGGCGACGACGCGCCGCGTCGGTTCGCGTCGAGTTCTAAGGCTGGGAATCGGAGTTCGGCGTGTGCTCGCGCGTCTAAATTAATTCTAAGGCATGCGGCACGCGTGTGTCCGGCTGCTCGACGATCGACGCGATTCCCTGGTCGCCACGGCGTCTATTCGCCGGCGCGAATACGGTAATGTCTCTCCAATTGACGCTCGGATTGTCCACGAAAAATGGACGATTTTGGAAGAGGAGATACGATTGTCCGAGCCTCGCGGTTCGCTTTTATAGTTACGAATTGTCGACAACTATAACAACGAGCTGCAGGGCTCGAACAATCGTACCTCCTCTTCCCAAATTGTCCACTTTTTGTGCACAATCCGAGCGTCGATAAGGGAGACATTACTGTAATTGCTATCTCAATTGCTGTCTCAAATGGATCGGTATCGTCTCCACCTTTTCGACTAACAGTCCGAAACGTACGATTTCAAATAATTATGCCCGGGTTCGAGACGCGTCCGGGCTAAACGAAACTAAACGCGCAGAGAATCGTCCGCGATGAATCGCGATCGCGATCGATCTCCGTGAAGCGGAGAACCGGCCCGTCGAGAAGCGGGACTCGTCGAGCCGCGGGAAACCGTGAATCCGGAGAGGTCGACGAAATGAATACAGTTTTGATCGAAAACGCGACGACGGTTCGACGAGAACGCGCGCGCGGGGCGTCGTTCCGCCGGCGCTTAATCTCTGTCGGTCGACGAACGGGCTCGGGGCGGTCTCGTGCCCGCCCCGGGACCGGGACACACGCGAGCGCAATTTTCATTCAACGTCTCCGTGGTTTCCCCCGGTCGATCTAATACTTGCTACGGGAACGAAATTGGCTAATCGCGTTGATACACAACAGGGTTAATAATACGTACCAAGGTAAAACACTCTTACAACGACACGATCCGATGTACACCGATATACAACGTCACTATTGCACTTCACTATTGCGTGGAGACGCGGGATGATCGAGCTTCGATCGCTGGCGGACGGGACGCGAGAGGCGAGAAGCGAGCAGCGAGCAGCGAGTAGCGAGCAAGCGAGACGAATCCGCGAATCTCGCGACGCTTGATTCTCCTCCCGCCGCGCCGTTGCTTCTCCGTCGAATTCGAACATCTTGTGCGGTGAACCGAACGATTGCTCGGCCATGGCGGATCTCGAACCTCTCTCTTTCTCTCTCTTTCTCTCTCTATCTCTCTTTCTCTTTGATTTTCTCAGTCTTGCTTGCGTTCTTGTCGCTTCTCTCGTATTCCATCGCCGGTTCGAGTCGCGTTAGCGTCTTCGGTCGAGCCTCTCTCCCTCGAAAGGGTGTCGTCGACGACGACGACGACGCCGTCGTTGGCTCGGCTGGCTGCCGACCAGAGGGTTTTTAGCATCGTTTCCGGCGTGGCAGAGGCGGGGATGGGAGCAGAGCGGGGTCGAGAAATTCACCAGAACCTCTGGGCGCTGTCCCACAGGTTCTTCAGGCTGGATCGAAACTCGAAACGAAAGTTCTGATAGTATCACGCTATGTTGTTTCCGCTCATCGTGGTCACGCACTTCTTCTCAGGCGTGTTCTGGCTCTCCGAGTTGCTGCGGACCGCCTTCGTCGGGCTGCCCGGCGTCGGCGTCGAGTCGCCCGGCAGCGGGTTGTTGTTGTTCGTCGACGTCGAGCTACGCCGGCCGTTCTCACGGGTCGGCGACTTCACGTCGAACACCGACGTCTCCGACTCGAGGTCCGAGTCGATCTGCAAATCACCGAGCACCGGGTCAAGCCTCGAACCGACATCCCTCTGTCCGTCGGGAACGTACGGAACCGGCCGCGGAAACGCGAACCGTATCTCGACACCTTTTTCTTTTTTTTGTTTCAAACGGAATCGATCGGTTCCGATCGTCGCGACGAGACAAGCGCGCGAGCACGTTTCGTGCTCGATTTTATAGCGATTTTGTAAAGGTCAAATTCGAGTCGAGAAGTTCGGTCGCGAGATCAGCGCTCGATCAGCGTAGAAACGAGCGTTCGAGTCCGAGCGGATTCGAGAGTTACGAATCCGTAACGTCTCTCCAATTGACGCAAGTAATGTCTCTCCAATTGACGCTCGGATTGTGCACAGAAATGGGCAATTTGGGAAGAGGTGATACGATTGTTTCACCGAGCATAATATAATCGTATCTTCTCCTCCCAGATTCTCCACTTTCGTGCGCAATCTGAGCGTCGATTACGGAGAATTTCCTATACTTAGGCGACCGTGGTTCCCGCGAATGTGTTCGGAGCATCGTCCGGACCAGTTTGTAGACCATAGAATCACGTAGCAACGTTTTCAAATTCTTTCGATCTCTCCAGTGTCGCGAATCGAATCGTTTCCCCCGTAAACGCATAAAATCCGCACAGAATCCAAGAATAGTAGAGCAGCCGAGTAGAGCGCGTCGCGTACGAACCACCGCGAATTCATCGGTTGCATCTAGAAATTCGCGCGAGAAAATAATCGACGTTTTTTCCCCGAGGACCGCATCCTCCGGAAGTACGTTCCCTTGAGGTCCTTGCGTCGCTGCTCGTCGATCCACGCGAAGCCGACTAGATCGTGACTAGATTCGAGCATGTTGAACGATAGTTTCCGGCGTGTCGCGAGCTTTCTATGACTAAAAGCCGTTGCGCGAAGCGTATCCGGGTGCTTTCTACCTGTGCGTTTTACGTATGAAGGGAGCGTGTTTGCCGCGTGTATGCGTGCGCGGATGGAGAAGATGATGGAGCGAGGTGATCAGAGAGTCGCGGGACAACGATGAAACGAGAGAGAGAGAAAGAGAGAGAGAGAGAGAGAGAAAGAGAGAGAGAGTGATTCCGTCACCTTTCCGTACGCAGCATCCGCGAAGATCACGGTCGGCAATGAGATCTACGAGGAAGGAGATGATGCGCTACCTTGTTAAAACAGACTACCTGTCTGGTAGCTGGATGCGGGCTGAGGAAGAGCCGCTCGCTGGTGTCGCTGCCGCAGCTGGAGCTCTCGCTCATCTCGGTGGCGAACTTCCTCGAGGCCCTTGGACTCGGCGGCGCGGCTCTGCTCTGGCCCCCTAAGCTGATGCCGACGTTCCTCGAGCAGACCTGCGACTGGATGTGCTCGCAGACTCTCCTGAACCGGCGGATGTTACCTGGAACAGCGGAAGAAGAGAACCGAGAGTCGCCCGTGTAATTGGTTCGAGGCCGGTGTGCCGGCGCGTTCCCTCGCCTCGCAGATGCCGGCCGAGGCGGACGGGACGCGACGCGACGCCGGATGAAATATTCGCTCGTTAAGCCTGTCGGCGAGCGGCCGCGCGCCGTAAATCCGCTCGGAGCGAAAGCGAAACACGCCCGAAATTATACAACACGCGGCGCGTGCATGCGGACAAGACGCGAGCCTCCGCTTCCGCCAAGGTAACATCGATCTAGTTGCGCTTGGCCGGCTGCCAAGTGCCAGGCGCCGGCCACCACCTCGCGATCCGGCCCCCCGTTCGAACACGAGGACCCCCCGTCCTTCGTCGCGGTCGCATTCCGCGGCGAGGAAAACAGATCCCACGACTTCTTTCGCCCGAAAACAATTCGATTCGATTTACGGACCACAGTAATGTCCCCCTTACCGACGCTCGGATTGTCCACGACAAATGGACAATTTGGGAAGAGGCGATACGATTGATTCGATTCTTGTGGCTCATTTTTTATAGTCACGAACTGTTGACAGCTGTAGAAACGAGCTGCGAGGCTCGAATAATCGTATCTGCTCTTTGCCCATTTTTCGTGGATCTTTAATGTCTCCCTAATTGACACTCAGATTGGGAGACAGTAAGGGTTATATGAAGGTTATGTCAAGGTTAAATTATTATTAAACCTTAAATTTAACCTTCACATAACCTTGACGCTCAGATTGGGAGACAGCAAGGGAGACATCTCCTCGGTAAGGGAGACATTACTGGGGACAACCTGGGCGTCGATTAGAGAGACATTACTGTATCAACGATTCGTCAGATTTCCATGGCTTGGTAGCACGACCAGAGGTGGAATTGTTTCTAATCGCCGGTAAAACCGGCAGGAAATGAGACGAAGAAAAGAAAGAGGATATCGAAGATCGAGCGGGCTTCGAGACTCACCGCTGAGAAGAGTGAAGGTAATGGCGAACAGCGGCTCGTTCTGTTGCTTCGATATGGCACTGATGTCGACTTGAAAGCGGACTTGTCTCTGGAACATCGCCGGCGCCGTGNCATAAAATCCGCACAGAATCCAAGAATAGTAGAGCAGCCGAGTAGAGCGCGTCGCGTACGAACCACCGCGAATTCATCGGTTGCATCTAGAAATTCGCGCGAGAAAATAATCGACGTTTTTTCCCCGAGGACCGCATCCTCCGGAAGTACGTTCCCTTGAGGTCCTTGCGTCGCTGCTCGTCGATCCACGCGAAGCCGACTAGATCGTGACTAGATTCGAGCATGTTGAACGATAGTTTCCGGCGTGTCGCGAGCTTTCTATGACTAAAAGCCGTTGCGCGAAGCGTATCCGGGTGCTTTCTACCTGTGCGTTTTACGTATGAAGGGAGCGTGTTTGCCGCGTGTATGCGTGCGCGGATGGAGAAGATGATGGAGCGAGGTGATCAGAGAGTCGCGGGACAACGATGAAACGAGAGAGAGAGAAAGAGAGAGAGAGAGAGAGAGAAAGAGAGAGAGAGTGATTCCGTCACCTTTCCGTACGCAGCATCCGCGAAGATCACGGTCGGCAATGAGATCTACGAGGAAGGAGATGATGCGCTACCTTGTTAAAACAGACTACCTGTCTGGTAGCTGGATGCGGGCTGAGGAAGAGCCGCTCGCTGGTGTCGCTGCCGCAGCTGGAGCTCTCGCTCATCTCGGTGGCGAACTTCCTCGAGGCCCTTGGACTCGGCGGCGCGGCTCTGCTCTGGCCCCCTAAGCTGATGCCGACGTTCCTCGAGCAGACCTGCGACTGGATGTGCTCGCAGACTCTCCTGAACCGGCGGATGTTACCTGGAACAGCGGAAGAAGAGAACCGAGAGTCGCCCGTGTAATTGGTTCGAGGCCGGTGTGCCGGCGCGTTCCCTCGCCTCGCAGATGCCGGCCGAGGCGGACGGGACGCGACGCGACGCCGGATGAAATATTCGCTCGTTAAGCCTGTCGGCGAGCGGCCGCGCGCCGTAAATCCGCTCGGAGCGAAAGCGAAACACGCCCGAAATTATACAACACGCGGCGCGTGCATGCGGACAAGACGCGAGCCTCCGCTTCCGCCAAGGTAACATCGATCTAGTTGCGCTTGGCCGGCTGCCAAGTGCCAGGCGCCGGCCACCACCTCGCGATCCGGCCCCCCGTTCGAACACGAGGACCCCCCGTCCTTCGTCGCGGTCGCATTCCGCGGCGAGGAAAACAGATCCCACGACTTCTTTCGCCCGAAAACAATTCGATTCGATTTACGGACCACAGTAATGTCCCCCTTACCGACGCTCGGATTGTCCACGACAAATGGACAATTTGGGAAGAGGCGATACGATTGATTCGATTCTTGTGGCTCATTTTTTATAGTCACGAACTGTTGACAGCTGTAGAAACGAGCTGCGAGGCTCGAATAATCGTATCTGCTCTTTGCCCATTTTTCGTGGATCTTTAATGTCTCCCTAATTGACACTCAGATTGGGAGACAGTAAGGGTTATATGAAGGTTATGTCAAGGTTAAATTATTATTAAACCTTAAATTTAACCTTCACATAACCTTGACGCTCAGATTGGGAGACAGCAAGGGAGACATCTCCTCGGTAAGGGAGACATTACTGGGGACAACCTGGGCGTCGATTAGAGAGACATTACTGTATCAACGATTCGTCAGATTTCCATGGCTTGGTAGCACGACCAGAGGTGGAATTGTTTCTAATCGCCGGTAAAACCGGCAGGAAATGAGACGAAGAAAAGAAAGAGGATATCGAAGATCGAGCGGGCTTCGAGACTCACCGCTGAGAAGAGTGAAGGTAATGGCGAACAGCGGCTCGTTCTGTTGCTTCGATATGGCACTGATGTCGACTTGAAAGCGGACTTGTCTCTGGAACATCGCCGGCGCCGTGCCTCCTCTCTTGTACTCGACTCGGAACGACATCGGCGAACTAACGCTGTGGGACAGCTCCGATATCTGGAACAACCGATCTCCCGGTTTTTCTTTCTCGATTTCTCCCTCTCTCTCTCGTCGCGGCCGCTTTCGCGCCACCCTCCGTCCACTCACCGATAAAAAAGCGTGAATCAAGTCGGCTTTCACGCTGGCCAACACTTTCCCCTTGACGAGAACCGTGAACGTCTCGTCCTTCTCCGTGGTCATCAAGCTACCGAACCACGACTTCTTCGTCAGCTCCGGCGACGAGTCCGGGGTGAGGTGCACCTGCGAACACCGGAAACGGGCGCTTGCTTTTCGAATGCTTCGCGGATTCGTGAAACATTGTAATTTCGTTTCGTTGGTTTCGTTAGCGTCCGGGGTCTCTGATTCGAAAATAAATCGCTTCGCGAGCTATTGGTTTCGTCTCGATTAGGGGGCGATGTTAAAAATTGCTACACTATTCCCAAAAGTATTTCCACGTTATTAAAATTTGGATAGATTGTCAAAGTATAAGTAGATTATATAACTTATACTGTAAGTTACTACTTCTATTATTTGACAATCTATCAAAATTTTAATAACGTGGAAATTCTTTTCGGAATAGTGTAGCAATTTTTTTGTGTTATACTATAGTAAGTTATACTATAAGTAAATTATATAACTTATAGTATAACTTAATACTATGTTTATTTAAATTCTATTTCACATGTATCAAATAAAAACAATCGTACCAAATGGAAATACTGTAGCTAGAAACAAACGTCTTCGTTCTCGCGTTAAAATAGTCTCGAGTGCAAAGGGTTAATATATATAAGAATCGGATCGAATTTCGAGTCGAGATCTCGACAAGAAATTGGCGAGCCCTGCGTCGATGCGTCGCCCATCTCGATATTATATCTAAATCCGAGAATATTTGTCGTACCTCCTCGGTGCTGGTGAGCAATTTGCGCCGATGAAACCGCGGGCTGCCCAGGAACGAATTCTTGATGGTGGTCAGTCTCGATCTCCAGTGATGGGCGCCGGAACCGGCTCCGGTGTGCGGCGATCCCGGCGGTGTAACGCCGACCGCTACTACTGCGAATTCGAGGCTCTCTTTATCGTACACGTAGCTACTGGAACAACAGTCGCAGTCGCTGGTCCCCGGAGCAGCGAATGCAGCTTGCGACTGCGACTGCGACTGTAGCGGTGACTCGATAATTGTTGCGGTTTCCAGCTGGTTGAAACCGATCAACGATGATCGACCGTTTACGCTGGCAAACGGACAGCGCCGGTTAATCTTCGCGGCGTCCATCCCAATCCCGGGCTGATCGATTCGTCTCGATAATCGAAACCGTTTGCGAACGGAGATCACGATGCTGAACACGTATTTAGGACAAACGTGTACACGCCCGGTTAATATGTCTTTGTACACGGATACGCGCGTTCGACTAACGCTTCATTAGCCGGAAGCGTAGAACCCAGATCGCTGGATTAACGCGAAAATGACGGGTCACTGACTTTTTAATTTACGATTATTCGTATCGTAAAGATACGAGTTATTTATTCAATTTGCTCAAAATCGGAAGAAACGTCTTATCGCACCGAAACGGGTGCGTCGATCGAAGCGTTCGAGAGGCCGCGATTTCGTGGATTTTCACCGAGGACGAAGATCCGCGCGGGTAGCAAAGCGGCGAAGATAGAGGCGCGGGTCTTATTGTATCGAATAAAGGGAACGTTTCCGCCGTTGTTTCCGTACCGCGACGCACTCGAGCCGTTCCGGCAGAAAAAGAGAGACGCGGAGGTTTTCCCGTCGGAAGGGCGCGGAGCGGCGGCCGCGAGTGGGAGCGCTGTCGCGAGCGTTGGGTGCGTCGCGAGAGTTCGGCCACGTGTCTTTAACGACGGCTCGCACTCCGCACGCAGTGTGTGCTCGTTACGCTTTGAGGCCGTCGCGCGCGGAGGTCACTTGCATTTTTTAAAGGCGCCCCGGCTAACAGCCGCCGCCCCTTCGGACACGAGATGAAACGGCCGGTGCTCAGACATCGGCGAGGGTCCCGATACGCCCGTAGCGACGAGCTTCTTCTCTTTTTCTCATCCTCGCGCGTTTAAACACGCTTCGGACACCTGCGCGCGAGACTCGGATCATCCGATTACAGTGACGTCTCTCTAATCGACGCTCGGATTGTCCGTAAAAATGGACAATTTTGGAAGAGGAGATACGATTGCTCGAGCCCTGTGGCTCGTTTTTTATGGTTATCGATCGTCGACGACTATATAAAAACGAGCAAGGCTCGAACAATCGTATCTCCGCTTCCCAGATTTTCCATTCTTCTGTACAATCTGAGCTGTAACGGGTTCGCGTCGGACCGGTCGGAATTGTCGGCCGCACGAATTAATCCTCCGACGTCGCGTACACTTTCGGAAATTGGAAAGTTAATCCTTTCCACCCGAATGGCGACTTCAAGACGCCATTAAAAATTGCTATGTCACGTTTCAAAATAATTTGATCGATCAAATTTGTTCACATTTGAAGGACTATTGAAAAGATCGATACAATGCGCTAGGTTATACAAAATGGAGATACAGTGGGTCGGAGAAACTCCGTTAAATTACGCGTTAATTTGGCTTCGAGTGCAAAGGGTTAACTCTTTGTTCGGTACGACAACGGCGGCGCGTTTATGCGATTTCGACGAGGTTCGCCGGCTCTCCGTCTTATCGGTAACCCGTTCGAATGTTCGCCTATTACCGGCTACCGATCGCGGGGTCGCGACTCTTTCAGGATAGGCGAGCTTTCATCGGGACGGGGTTTGGGGCACGGTAATGGGAATGAAAGGCACGGTAACCGGGGTCGTAGCCTAGACGGCATTGAAACGCGATCGTATTGCTCGCGGCGAGCCCGATACCGAGTTCGTATTTTCGCCGGAGTCATTGTCTCGCCGAGGACAAATTCCATTATCGCGGAAGCGACGGTCCGATTCAACGGCCCCGACGCGACGTCTCTCCATTTGGAACGCGTCGAATCGAGTCCCGCCGCCTATCACCGCGCCCCTTGCGCAACGCGGTTTCACCCGCGAATTGGAACGAACGTCGCGTTCAATCCGCGCCGCGTTGCATCGGATCCGCGCGCCTATCGGGCCCGAAGGATTAAAAAAGCGTCGCGATCGCGACGGATCGAGGATGACTCACCTTGCTGGACGTCGTTGATCTCGATTCCCACATTGGGCAGAGTTGGGACCGGCGCCGCGACCGCCGGATTCGTCGAGTTCCCGTTGCCCGCCGCGCTGCTCACCGCCGACAGCCTGTGAGGACTTCCGGTCTGGCCGATGTGCGAGCTCGGAGGTGCCCGATGAGGACTCAGCAGCCCGGCGACCGCGTTCGGGGCGTGCAGCGGCGAGCTGCCCGGCGTGGACGCGTGCGAGTGGGACGCGTGCGGCGCGTGGGCCGCGTGGGACGCGTGCGTGTGGCACCCTGCGCTCGGCGAGCGACGCGCGTGATGCCTCGTGCTGCGACACACATACCAACACACCCCCGTTATCGACTGGCGCGCTGGACCCACCGGTCGACTTTTGTTAGAGCCTCGGGCGCTTATCGGTTATTCCGTAATTATCGAGATTTTCACCGATAAAGCCCGCCCGCTTTTAGATTACTTTTTACGCATCGAACGATCTCCGTCGGAGCAGCCGCGGTGATTAGCGTATTTCTCCGATCATTTCTCTCGCGAGACCGGAAAATTTCTTCCTTCCTTCTCGCGTGTTTTTCCTCGTTTACTTTCGCTCGAAGAGCGACTTTCGACTCGACTCCGATGGACACCGGGCACGCGACCCGGTTCAAACTCACCTGGACTGTCTCCGCGGGGTCAGCGGAGACCCGTGGCTGATCTCGCCGAGATTCAGGGCCGTGCTGCCGTTCACCCGACACGTGTCCACCCGTTTCCTCGGCGGGTCGGCCTCCAGCTGGCTCACGGAGCCCCTGACGCCGCCCCGCATCACCTCAAGCTCGTCCTCGCACGCCGGTCTTCTCCGCTTTCGCTCCAGCAGCAGGAAGTAGATCACCTTCTCCGTGTTGTGGCTGCGGAATAGGGCGAATCGTTCGATAAACGGATCGATGAAACCTTGTCTTCGCGCGCGAGGAATCTCGGACTCGACCGTGTCTTCGATTCGTTCGGGACTCTCGTAAGGGATAATCGTTTCGAAGGTAGCATCGCGAGGGTCTCCGGACACGCATTCCTTATTTACTCTTGGCTTATCGATTTATAGGCGTTATTGCGACGTTAAAGAACATAGTCCGTTCAGTCTGCGAGGTTTCCACACGGCCGCGAGAGATTAGGTTTTCTGTGATGCAGCTGTCGGCATTGTCCGAGGTCTTTGGCTCGGAAGGAGCGCGAGAGAACCGGTCGTCGATCAGCGGGGTAGCTTAATCGGTTAGCGATAGAATTATTGGAAATTTCTGACTAGAACGTGTTTTCAGTATCAGGGATTGCAAAAGGAAAAATACGACACTGGTCGTTTTGACTGGTTTGGTAGTTCTAGTTCCGAATTCGTCAGGGAAAGCGATCGTTCTCCGTCGCCTAGGACGTCTTACTTGGGGCTGAGGAGTTCCTGGATCAGTTTGTCCCGTTCCTTGAAGCAGCCCAGGCTCGCAATCGCCTGCAACACGTCGGGATCGATCGCATCCACGGACGGAATAACGTGCGTCTGCACCACGTCCATCATGGACAGCTCGAGCTCCAGCTCGCCCTTGCCCGCCGCTGTCACCCACACGTGCCTGTTTATTTCCGCCAGCTGTGGGAGTCGATTCGGTCAGGATTTATCGGTCGGGCTGCGCTCTCTCCGATCGGACCTCGATCGGATCTCGATCGGGTTCTGATCGGGGACTGTTCGAGCCGGCAGGGTCTCGACACCGAAATGTATAAATACCGAAATCGAGATAGTGGATATCTATAAGACTAGAGACTATATGGATTTATATATGGATATCTATAAGACTAAGGTGGATTTTAACACTAGATTTCCGGAGCGCAGCGAACAGCTCTGTTTTCAATTAGTTTGCAAAAGCAACGACAAGACTTCTCTCCTAATTTTTAACGAGTGTTGTTTTAATATTTGTCGTGTACATTGAACAAATAACTCGCGAACGTATCTTTACGATCTGAACAGCCGGAAATTGAAAAATTAACGACCCCCATTTTGACGGGTTCCCTAAACTTGGAGCATTAATTCGACACGTTTGGTCCAATTTTACAATCGTTTTAAGAGGCGACCACCCCGTATACATTCACGATCGTACAGAGTACTATAGCCTAATATAAAAATATCGTTCTATTTTAGTATAATAAAATGTAGCGTAACTGCAGTCGCGAGAAAGGATCGGCGAAACCGCGCGTATGAAATATACGAACGCACAGACCGACTTCGATGTCGTAGAAATTCTGCGTATCGATTCCATAAAATAATACGTACTGGTTCTATAAATCTGTGTTAAAAGATACTCGAGAAATTACGCCCCGTAACAGGGACACCGATCAAACCCGTTTCACCGCGTATCTCCGATTTCGGCGGAGGTCCTTGGCGCCGATCGCGATCGCTTACCGTCAACCTTTTGTCCGGATCGACCTCGATCATCCCCTTGAGCAGATTCTGACACTCGGGCGGCACGAAGTGCGGTATGTAGAACACGCCTCGTTTCACCTTCTCCAGCAGCTTCCTCAAGTTGTCGTCGTCGAACGGCAACGCGCCTACCAGAAGCGCGTACAGTATCACCCCGCACGACCAGACGTCCGCCTTCCTGCCGTCGTACTTCTCGCCCTGGGAACAACCAATCGTGTCGCATTTTTCTCAACTCCTTCCACCTTAATTAAATTCCTGAGCCGGGGATTCGGCTCGCAGCGGGCGAGACCATAACTCTTCCTCCCCCGGTTTTAATACGTCCCGAGAACGAGAACCGCGCTCGCCTTGAAGCGCCGCCTTTGCTCATCGACTCCTCGCGTCCCCGGCGCCCGGCCGCCGTCCATTTTTAACCCTTGCCGAATGGTCGAGCGGTTTCTTTGTCGAATAGAAAGAAACACGGCTAAATTCTTGAGCAAATTTGTCGGACAGTTGCGCGAAGTTTCCTGGAAATTGGCGCGAACCGGTCGCCGGGGTTCCCTCGTTGGCGAGAGAAACGAGCGATCGCCGGCGTATCGGAGCCGAAGATCCTCGCTACGCCTCGGATTCCCGCGAGATTATCGACCAGAAGGCAATTTCCTCGCGGCGGATTACGGTAATCTCGGACTCCGAGGCGAAGCAAGGCGAAGCGAGGCAAAGCGAGGCGAAGAACGGGGAGGAGGCGTTCGAGGAAACGGGTGTGCTCGCGGACAGAGCGCGATCTCGAGGCGAATCTTACTCGAATAACTTCGGGACAGGCGTAATGAGGAGATCCGCAGCTGGTTTCCAGCATGGAGCCGGCCGGTTGCAACGACGCCATCCCAAAGTCCGCGATCTTAATGTTATTCTTCTCGTCCAATAACAAATTTTCAGGCTTCAAATCTCTATGACTGTGAACGAAGAAGCAGAGACTCGGTTAGTTTCGGGGAGGGGTACGGGGGTGGGAAGGCGATTGCCCTAATTCGGGTCACTCGAGCCGGCCAGAACGGTCGCGTGGCCCGTGGGTTCCGGGCTCGGCTAATTTGAATGAAGGATCGATCCGGGCCAATGTTCCACGGTGTCCCCGCCGCTAAATTAGCTCCGTTTCTCTATTTATTCGATTGGGGCGGGTCTCCCCTCGTTTTTCTCTATCTCTCTCGCCCCGCGCCGGCCGTTATCGAGTCGTTTAGCGCCTCGCGAAATTAACCGGAAGGAATTTCGGGGCCTAAGCTCCGGCCTCCGGGGTTTCCAATAGCGAAGGTCGCCGCGCGGATTAAGTTTGCCGATGGATTTAGCCGGCGACAAGCCACGCTCCGGGGAAACTCGATGGATCATGTTCCCTCGTAACGGCACCTAAGCGCTCCGCGGTTTATCTCGGCGAGGAGCCGGCCGAAACTTTTCGCGGGCCAACCCATCCGAGGAACGAGCGACGCGACCCTATGAATTATAGAGCCAGCCGATCCTCTTTTATGCACGAGAATCGTTCGACCGAGTCGTTCCGGCCGTGCTCGAGCGACCGAGAGGTCTCTTTCTTTCCTCGCGCGCTCTATTTTTCAGCGGCATTTAACCCCTTCGCATCCTTACTCGCGATTGCGGCGCCCGCGCGGAATTGATTCCACTTCGTTGTTCAGCACCGAATTGACTTGCGTCGAGCGATTAGAATACGGTAAAGTGTGCTCTTTCTTGTAGACATAATCAAGATGTTGTATAATTATCGCGGCGGGCTGTTTATCACGCGCGGATAAAGATTGGGAGAAAATGTCACAAAGGAACGGCGTTGTCCGTCGAATGACGCGAAAGGGCTAATAGCTTTAAGTCTCACAGCTTTAAGTCTCGCTGACAAATTTAGTCTACACGTTTCGGCGGGAACAGTGAATTATTAGGGGAGAAGTACTCACCATATACTATGACTATGGCAAAAATCTAACGCGGAAATGATTTGTCGAAAAAATCTCCTCGCTTCCTTCGGCGTTAGTCTACCCTTTTTCACTAAATAGTCGAAAAGCTCCCCGCCCGAGACGTGTTCCAGAACAAGGTATCTGAAACGGAAGAAAAGCGCAGCTTCAGTCGAAAAGCTGGCGCGTGTCCGTGTTTTCCCGGGAGTTTTCGCCGGCACCGAAAGCTCCTCGCTTCCGTTATCTTTTGTAAACGAGCGCGCATTGGTCAGAGAATATAAGCCGAGCATAATGATTTCCCGGGGAATATAAATTGTACTCACAGGTATTTCTTATTCTCGTACACGTCCGACAGGCCGAGCACGTGAGGATGGTCGATCAACTTCATGATCGCGATCTCCCGCTCCACCTTCATCAACACCGACTCCGACAGCTTCTCCCTGTTGATGATCTTGATCGCCACCTTCTTGCCCAACACGCAGTGTACCCCAAGCTTGACCAATCCTGCGGCAAACGACAGAGAAAAAGATCGTTTTTTAGAAGAGCAACCGAATCTTTTCTAGGGAAAGATTCAAACAGATCGTGCGAAACCAAGTTGGACATACGACAAAATTGAACCGTGTATTTCGCTGTTCGCCGTGCTGTTTTATCACATCCTTGACAAAAGATCTTCGACGATGATCTCGCAAATAATTATTCTAGAAGGATTCGTCGCGAGCGTCCATCAATTTTCCAGCGCGAGAGGCGACGCTTCGACTGCCTCAAAGTTAAGTTAATAGCCTCGAGAATTTCATAAGGTTAAAGTGCTTCGCTTAAACGAATTCAATCTGAGACGTTGAGTTAGATAGCATCGATCTCGCGCGAGAATAATTATATTAAAATTAGGGAGACGCGCTAGTCCGAAAGTTTAAAAACATCTTCGATCTATCCCCCTTAACCGTTCGAGTCCCAAGCAGCGCGATCGCGCTGTTCAGATCTTGCGTCGCGATCGAACTTTAGCGACGCGCGTACATCGCGTAGCTGCTTTTTCTCATTTTCTTTTCTTTTCGCTTCGCTTGTCAATCTTGACGAGCGCTGTCGCGCCGCTTGGTTCCCTTCGCAATCAATTAAGACAAGCGCTATCATCACGCTGTTCGGCATTTTTCGACCGTGTTTTCCGAATAATCCCTGAGAACTCGAACGGTTAAACAAGGCACGCTCCGTGGTTCTGGTTCGCGAACGTTCGCTGCATGCCGCTTATTAAAAACCGGACGTCCCTTTAATCTAAATAAAAAGAGCGCTATTTGCGGGGCGAAACGGATCGATGCGGCAGCGCGTCGAAGATTGAAAATCGCGACGGTGGAACAGAGGGAATTAAGAGCTCGACACAGAAGCCATCGCGACGGGGATTAAGGGTGGTGTTAAAATAGGAAGAGAAAACCGATGTTTTGTTTATCTGCGCCGGCTCTCGTTGAACGGACTTTAGTTCTCCTCCGGCTCCGCGGAGGGTATTGTTCTCCCGACGAGGTAATTTTACCCGGCTCGATCGAAGCGAACAACGAGCCGCCCGCGACTGTTTGCCCGTCGGCCGTGTTTCGTAGGTCCCGCGGCACGGACGAGAACCATTGAATCACTGCGGAGCCAAGTAGCGCACAGTCGCTTTTAGTCGGACAATCCTCGCGAGAGACAGGAGAACGTTTCGAACGCACGTAGACGCGGCGTGCTCGCCGCGCACCGTTCGAATTGGGTCGCGCCACTTAATTGGAAGTCCTTGTGCAGACAGAGAGAGAGAGAGAGGATCTCGTCCTATTCGAGCTGGATCAGCGCAGCCGTCATTAAATTTTCTAATCTGGCTAACAAACCTGGCAGCCGAATCGAGCGAGTCGAACAACTATGTAAGTAGTCACGCCCGGTCATTTCGCAACGCTCTCCTACGTCCCCCTTTTCTTTCACCGTCGTGCTTCTCCTCTCTGCCAACGAGAACAATGCCCGTTTATTCGCAATTACGATCGCAGCTTTATCGCGTTTTCCAACTGGCTTCGAAGCGACCTTTGTCGCGCCGATCGTTCTCCGCGTTTCTCGTATCGATGCGCCGCGAATCGCGCGATTATACGCGGCCGCAAAGCGATTCGCTTTTTTCACGGCGAGAGAGATTCGCGAGCGAAGAATAACTCGCTCGAATCTCATTCGCGACGATAGTCCCGGGTGTTAAGTACTGTTAAGCGAACTGTAAGGCTCTCGAATAATCATATCTGCCCTTCCCAAATTCTCCATTTTTGAGGACAATCTGAGCGTCGATTGGAGAGACATTGCTTGCGTCAAATGGAGAGACGTTACGGATTCCGTATTCAATCCTTGCGGCTCATTTTTATGGTCACGATTTCTCAACAACTATAAAAACGAGCCGCAAGGCTCGAATAATCGTATCCGCCCTTCCCAAATTGTCCATTTTTCTGCACAATCCGAGCGTCGGTTAGGGAGACATTACTGTACTTCGACGCCGCTCAATGGAGCTGTTATCGCGACACGATCCGCGTCGGATATCGACGAGTATTAAAGGCGATCGTGTCTCAGTTTCGCGGTCGCAACTTCGCTAATTCCATTGTTACGTTCGCGCCGTGACGAGGAAAGTTTCGCGACGCGGGGCCGACGACGGGGGGCCAAGAAAATGGACGCGTTACACGAGCCGGGACATGTTTGAGCTGCCGGAGATCCTTCCCCGAGGTCTAAGTGACTCTTCGGGCACGCCGGCAAAGTGTACACACTTCTGCCGCCACGACGGGCAAACAGCCTGGCAAACACAGCGGTTTCGCTCGGGTTGCTCTCGGCTCCCAGCCTCCTGCTAAGTCGCGGAAACTCGACGACGATCGGCGATCGTCGCGATCTTAACGTCCCTAATCCGGTCCGATCGAGCCGACCAGCCGCGACGAGATCCATCGAGACCCTCGATAAGGGACTTTCGAGGCCTTTGATACGTCCCGGAGCCCTTGTTCCGCGCCGATGGCTTCGCCTAACTCGTGGCACCACGGGCCAACCCGGTCACCCATTTCGGAATCGAACGGTGCGATGGAAATCAAAAGTTGCGGCGGATCGTTCGTTCCTCGTTTAAACGGTTAGCTGTGTTTCGCGAGTATACTCGTCAGAAGTGGCGGTATATTCTGTGTCATGACGAGTATACTCGTCAGGGAGAAGTGGCGGTATTCTGTGTCACGACGAGTATACTCGTCGCGCGTAAAAAGTAGCGACCATTGGCTATTTAAATTGCAATTTTCAACGATGCCGTGCAAGAGCACCAACGTTATACTTAGCGAATACTAAAGGCGTCCGATACGTGTTTTTTTAATAAGAACTACAGGCCTGAGTTCGCTTGGACATCTTACGATTTTTATTGTAACTCGAATCAAGCTCAAATCGAGAAATTTATTCGATCGTTCCCGACGAAAGTGGCTCCGCGATACCAAAAATGTTCAAACAAAGAATGTGCAAATAATGCCACGGTAGGTTCAGTGTTGACGAAAACCTTCGATCTATCGACAACCTTGCAAACGATCGATTCGGAACGGTTCGTCACGTGCTAACGATATTATCGTCTGCAGCGCGAGGGATCGACGAAACGAACAGCGCCCGGGACAAATTTCTCTGCCTTGATTCGCAGTTCGTCGAGCGTTTCTAGTTCCCAATTGACCGGACTGGCGCGAGCCAATAGGCACCAGTTATTTCCGAGGAAGCGTCGATCGTGAAATCGCATTCAGAGCCGAGCGACCGACGATACACTAAATATAAACGAACGCGTGTTCGAATATTCTTTCCCGATGGGCGTCATCGGACACACGTGCGTCGCTTATCGAGCATGTTCAATTACGTGTCGCGTCTCTCTCTCTCTCTCTCTCTCTCTCTCTCTCGCTCTCTCAGCGCCCACTCATTTCTATTGAAATGCCGGTGCGTGTCGATAGACTCGATTTGTGCGCCGCATCTCTGTCGCGTGAAAAACCGTGACAACGCGAGGCCGCGAGACGCGCCGCAAAAATCGTGGAACGGTGTGGGTGTATGGGTGTCTCGATCATCTGACGCGGCATCTGTTTTATTTTATTTCACGTTATTCGACCGGCGTTTGCGCGGACTTTGTACAAAAGGGTGCCGACGATCGTCGCCGAGACTTTGTCTGATATTTTTTACTAATTCACGCGTTGCTTTCGCGAACAGCGTCCGTTTCGCAGAATCGAATGAAATATTTCCTGCGTTCCATGTTCTCTGCGGAATCGCTCCTCTCGACGGACACATCGAGGGAATTTAAAAATATATCAATATATTATAATATATTTTATATTTTTATTATAAGTTATTGAAAAAAGAACGGAGAACATGCTATTTAATTAATATTCCCTGCACTCGACGAAGACGATCTTTATTTCGCATAAAAATCCGCGATCCAGTCGTCGCGGCGTTAATTCGGTTGGAGTTATGTAACGGGTGATACCGGTGAAAACATCGTTAATAAGGTGTTCTAAGAGAACGATTGATGAAACGAAGCAACGTGTAAACTCGTATTTCGGGGTTCCGAGCACGTTTCGATGGACGACGGTGTGCGAGGACGGGGGCAACGGACCGGCTCGGAGTTTCGGCGTGGAGCCGCGCGCATAGAAAAAGGGGCAGGTGAACTCGCTCTCGTTCGAAGTGAAGCGGAAACTCGTCGGGACCGGTTCGAAACGTTTCGAGCCCTCAATTACCGCTGTTTCTCCGCGTATTTACCCACTCGAGATATCAAACGGCCGCGGCCGCGGCGTCGCCGGTCGCTCGGGAACTGTTCCGCAGGGCGCATAATTAATCCGCGAGCGCGCTCTCGTTCGTGAAATCAGTTTCTCAGCCCTGGAGATACTGATATTAAATACTCGTTAGGAGCGACGAGTGGCTCGTGCCGCGGCCGCGTCGCCCGCGCCGCGTTTTTCCCTTTTCTTTTTTTCTCAAATTGCGCCCGCCACTCCCGCTCAACGACCTCCAAGTGTCCACGAGTGTTTTCCACGGTTTCGTGGCCGGGATAGTCCGAAGGGACGAATTTGCAATTTTCTTTGTCGCCGAGCGGAGCGCTGGCTCGGTCGATCCTCGGGCTCTCGCCTCGCCTCGCCTCGCCTCTCGGCCTTCGTGACTATCGACCCCCTTCCAGCCCCACCGGTTTTCAAAGTTACGGCCCCGCTGCGCGCACAAAGTCGTGCTCAGTTGCGAAATCAACTTCTACCCGCGAGGAAAGATTCCTTTCCGCCCACGCGACACGTTCGTCTCGGTTTTCATGCTCGAGGGACGCGACGGGATAAGGTTTCGAACGTCCTTGGACTGTTCCGGATGCACGTCGACGGGCGGATACGGCAGAAGCAGTACGAAGACGTGATCTTTTCGCGGCGCGTTCATCTTTTTCGCGGCTACAGTAATGTCTCCCTTACTGACGCTCGGATTGTTCGCTGAAATAGACGATTTTGGAAAAGGAGATACGATTGTTCGAGCCTCGTTTTTTATAGTCACGAATTGTTACC